AAAAAAAAAAATATAATTTTGTGCATTCTGAGTTAATATGAAAAAAGATAATACTGTTAAGTGAACCTAGCGCCAGAGTGTCGCTATGGTAAACAAATAGAGGGAACTTTAAAGAGTGCATTTATTCTATTGTGGTTTATGCGCTGTCAACGAAGTAGATTTAATTCAATCCAATAGGTTTAAATGAAATGCGAGAAAAAATGCGTATAATTTAATATTCCGTACAAGGAAGTCATGTACATCAAATTTTTACTATTTGCTCTGCTAACGAAAAATTGTTTCTCTCTTTCTCTGCTAATTGGTTAAATGTGCGTGTTGCCAGGTCTGGTGCGTTGGAAGTACCATAAGTTATATTCTTCAGTCTATAAACTTTTAACTTGTTCTTCTTCACTACTCTTCCATGAGATGCGTAAAAAATCTCTTTGATGTTCTTTAATCAAAATCAAAATCTGACGATACATTTTTACAATGTCTGCTGTGAAAGGCAATTTTATGCGTTCAAAATCTGCAAATAATACCAAATAGTTCGTCTTGAACTAACCCATCCATTCAGTAGAATGTCGTTTAACGAAATTCCAGTAGTCCTAGGAGCAGTAACATCGAACACTACCCTAAGTTTCGTGCTAGGTTTATCGGGCCTGAAAACACCATGATGAGGAAGATGAGGAAGATAATATGAAAAACCAGAGCTATCCCCTTCATTAATTTCTGTGGAATGGCCTAATTTATTATATTCCTTAATGAAATCTTCGTACAAGGGTTTCATTTCGGGATTGCGAGTGAAGCGTTTAAGTATATAATTCAGTTTTTTACTAGCGTTTTTCCTCGATTCGCATAAAGGGTTCGCCCTTCGATTCGCCCTTCCTCCTTAATTGGCATTTCCACTACACACCTGCCGTTATCTTGCCTCCTGTTTGTACGAAGAAAGTGTTGTTCACAAAATTCCTCTTCCTGACTCTTCACTTTTTTTGCTTCATTAATACCTTCAATCTCCCAAAACCTTCTCATATTGTCAGATAAATGATCCACAGTTTCAACAAACCCAACCCACAATAATTATCAAAATTGTCTTGCTGCGGCATGCGTACTGACCCGCTAACGATGTATCAAAAAACTGATTGATGGAGCATGAGGTCTTGCATATTTATTCTATTTGTTCCCAGTAAATCGAAAAATATTTCGTTAGATAATAAAACATGTATTTGACCAGGTTTTATAAAACTCTGGATCAGCGAAAGCAATGGGTTGCAACTGCTTAAGATCAGGAATGTTTAGATATCTAGCAGGCGTTACGTGTGTTATTTTTGGAACACCAAAAAATTTTAAGGTACGAATAAAATCTCTAGTAGCGTTAGCTATGGTTGCTATAGCGTTTTCCTTAATACCCATAACTGTGCCATTGATAGCTGAAATAGAAGCGTTTATTTTCTTTTCTTCAAATTCAATAATTCAGCACATTCTTTAGTAATGAAATTATTTTGAGAATCAGAATCAAGCAAGGCTCTCAGCGAAACAAATTTTCCATCACCACCTTTAACGAAAATAATTACAGTTGAAAGTAGAACTTGTTTATTAAAAGAACTGGAAATATTCAGTGCAGTACTGTGAATGGACTTTGCTTGGTTGGTTTCATTAGTGTCACTAACCTTTTGGCTGCTTGCCAATGGAGTAAATGTATCAGCATTTGGAGAAAGATTACTGCTAAATTTATTAGTCTTGTTTGTGTTTTGATTCGATGTGCCATCTGCTCTATCGAAATTTTCTTCACTTCGATCAAAATGTAAGAGCGAATTGAGAAATTTCTGACATTTTCTGCATGTATTAGAACTTTTACAGTCCTTGAATTGTGTAGACCGAAGATAAACAATTGAAACACATAGTTTTGTTTTTTGTCTTTACAAATTCAAATCAATCGTTTTTCTTGGACTGTTAAATTTAAGAACTGCACACATTTTAACAATAAATGATCACCTTTACAATAAGGACAATTTTTTTAATTTTCCGAAAGTGTTGTAAGAGCTTTGGTATTAAATGAACGTTTCGATTTCCCCATGCGGAGGTTTGTAATGTGATAGGGTGTGAGCGTGTTCCTTCAAAAAACATGTCAGTTGTTAAACTGTTCCTATTTAATCTTTTTTAAATGATCTTTCCCACCAACACCGAGTATTTCTATCCAACTCTTCAACTAATAAATAAACAATTAACGTGTCTGAAAATTCTTCCACCTTTTGCTCCAATGCTTTCGTAAGGATCGTGAACATTCATGCACCTTATCGTTAAATTTTAAAAGCGACGAAGTAAGAATCACTCGTTTGAATCAGGTATGGAAATTAATTTCTTTATGATAGAATTGATCAAATCATTTTTGTTGCAATAGCACTCAACGAACAGAGTGCCATGCTATGTCGTAATTTCGAATCTCCGAAATTGGAATGGTCTGAATAATATTTAAAGCGTCTGCCTTACACGAACTCTTTAAATATTGAAATTTTTATGCGCATTAGTTAATTTTCTGTGCGAAAATAAATAAATCCTCAAATTCAAGTCCATTCTTCAATTTTCCCACTGAATATAGGAAAAGGACAATTTAGGCAGTCAATTTTATATCCGAAACAATTATGTCATTACTCGAACCGTTTTCATTTGAACAACTATTCCTCTGAGAACTGATCTCAGAAATTTTTCTTTTAATTTTCAAATGAATTTCATCGAGATTATCTTCTATATTTTCCTTTTCCTTATGAATTCGTCAGTGTCCTTTTCCTCACAATGTGCAAATAAAGAATCGAAAATGTTACTTAATTTCTTTTTAAATTGTAATATTTTTTATTCGTATAACTGCAATAAGGAAATATCTACTTCGTCCATTGTCGTCCATTCGATTTATCTTATTTTCAAACTTTGTGATACTGCGTTTTAAGCTCTTTTTGTTAGCTTTAATCGCTTTCAATTCACTCATCATGAAGAAAGGAATAATTTATCACTTACCGTGATTGCAGATTTCTAGACAGCAATACCGGAAGTGAACGATGACACAGTACCCAACCTTAATTGCGTGATCCATACGAAAACGAAAGCATTTCAAACACTCTATATGAAGTTATGCGTAATACAACAAAAACGAAAGTATTCCAAATGTTTCTAAAAAGCTAACTTTAGCGAATATATATTTTACCTCCGGCTCGACGGACCAAAAAATGTTCATGTGATTATACAACAATTCCAAATTAACTAGATGTGGATTGTACTAATTAATATTTTATTCTTAAAACCTTAATCACATGCGTGCCATCTTTCAAGCGATGACTTACTACTAACAACAACAGCAGTAAAAAACTGAGCGAGCGTTTACAGGTTTACTGTAATGAACATTCGCTCCATCCAAGGCGCCAAGAAGAGAAAAAATGACGTAATCTTAAAGCGAAATAGTCCTAATGATTTAACACTCGGATAGTGCAGTGGTGTAGCCTCCATAGTCTTGCTAGAAATTCTTTTTCCATTCTGCATTTTCCCTTTCTTTGCAGATTAAGTTTTTCATATGCCGTTTGTTTCTGATGGCTTGTTGCATATGTATTTTGAGAGTTTTTCCGCCCCATAGAAAACCTCCGTGACTGCGTGCGTACGGTTTCGCAATAGATTAAATGCACACACCCTCCGATGATAAATTGATAAAATTTATTTTATCAAAAGGAACGTTTCAGAGTTCTGGAATTTTCTACAGAAATACTCGTACAGTATCACAGAGTACAATCACTAGTTAGACTTAAAACAACTAAAAACGTTAAACACAACGAAATGCAAAGCGTATCTAAATAGAAATCTAACCCGGAGATATCTCTGTACTTCGAACTCCCGCTGAACTAACAACTCGCGACAACAACAAACTGAGAGCACTCTCACCGGCCTTTAAATAGTTTTCACTCGACCGAGATATTTCTAGCACTTACGCCTTCTCGAAATTACTGGAAGGCAGCATTAGGGTCGAATTACGATTACAGCTAATATACTGATCATTTACATTTATTCAGTTGTAATATCTGTTATGGTGATACAAGGACCGGACCAAATATCGCCGAATGGTCGCCACGTTTCGCGATAAAAATTAGTCACCAAAACCTTTGTCAGCTTCGTAATATCTCACCAAATTAGATAACCATTTATTCTGTATTCGTACTTTTCCGGCATAGCTATTCTCTCTAGATGTTTTCATGTTACATTAGACAGAAAAAGTACAACAGTTCCACGTATAATTGCATTAATATCATCTATCTATGTACAAAATTGGTAACAATAATATTTTCTTGTAATTCACTGAGCTCTCTTTTTGCTTTCTTTACTGAATTATATTTCTCTTTGTTGGAAATGACAATATCAACTTTATCATTCGATTTTCCAGTTTACTACAGATTTTAAAGTAAGCTTAATTTTTAACTTTCATTTAAGCATTAATTTGAAGTAGAGAAAATTTAATAAATAATAATGAATAAAAATTGCTTTTATCTCCGTAATTTGGAGGAAAACTTTGCTGCTTTTGACTGATCAAAGAATTCTGTTCCATTATTTCCTTCTATCTTATTGATCATTTTATAATCTCCGGTTTCAATGAGAATATATTAACCTATGAATTTTTAAAAGTGTCTAAGACTGAATCTTTGCAAACATTAAATTCTTTTGTAACAAAAAATGAACATAGTTCTGATTACAGTTTGAAGTCATTAAATGATTCTTTTCAAGAGACGCTCAAAATACCTGAATGTTTGTGAGTGGAAAAAAGAGCTTGATAAGATTATAAATTGCATAATTAGAGTACAATCCATTTAAATTCAAACATAGGCATCAAGTTACATCTAAAAATGTAATGTGAAATACGTTAATTTTAATTCCAAAGTTTAATGCTCTGCTGTCTGAGCCACAAAGCGTATTACGTATAGATATGCACATTTTAAAGGTTAATGGAAGAAGTAGAATATAAAACTCGAACAGAGGATTTCATTTCTGTTGCTGATGTCCCATTTGTTACTTTAACCTCCCTTCTTTTCTACGTTGTGTGACTGCAATGGTATGTATTTAACTTGCATGATTAATAGATTTCAAAACAGTTCGTATATACTTGGTATCACAAGTAAGAAATTTTTCTGCTGAAGCATTTGAGTATTTATCAATGCAAATAATTAATTGTATGCAACTTAATTGGAAAGTTATTATGTAGAAAATACGAATATTGTAATGTAATTAATACAGAAAAGCATGCTTGTCTTTTTTTTTAATTTTTCAACCAAACTGATAACGACGTTCTTAAAGAATGCTAAGCTTAAATTAAGTCATTTATTATTCCTTAGTCTACGATAGCTAATTGCATTTCGTACTTATAAACTTTTCCACAATAATTCTCGAATAACCCAGAACTGCTTTTACGTAGTTTTCTCCTATTTAATAAATACCCCCTTCCCATACCCCAGAAGAGCGAGAGGGGAAAAACTTTGCAATACCTGGTTACATATTTTATGAAAAATGTTTGAAAGTAGAAAGTGTTTGTAAAATGCTGTAGTGTCACTTTAGGAATCTAATTAGAATCCAGTAATAAATTTTGAGAATGAAAAAAAATCTTTCAGTACTCAATCTCCCAATCTGATGGAGGTTTTGCCAGAAATCAATTTAATGCAATGCACTGAAATATTTTTCAATAATTAATTTAACAACTTCCTGAATCTGTAAAATTTCATGGATAGCATAAACTTCGAGAAAAATTAACTTCGTTATTTCACTATTTAAAAAAAAAATGGTATTCTCACATTACTATGGTTCAAAATAATTTTATAATGCTTTAAAACAAAGAATGTAGTATCGTCAAGTGAGTTTTTTCTTGCTGTAGACAAAGTTAACGGTGAAATGTTCTTTTCTTGTGAAGTTCAACAGAAAGGAAATTTCAAATTTTTATGTCAAAAAATTTAAAGAAAGAATATTTTGCAAAAAGCAGTATTTGTTTACAATTTATAATAAATTAAATCGATTTAAATAGTGAGATTACTAAGCTAACTTCCTTGGATTAGTCTCGAGCATGTCCATTTGAAAGCTCATAAACCATGACTGGCGATTCATCAATTGTGTCCGTTTAATACAGAAATTCTTAATATTCCCGTAGTTGCTTGTTAAATGGACACAGTTAAAAACATTGTTAACTTCTAAGTAACATATCGCACATTATTTCTATTTTAGACTTGTATAGTTGCCATATAAATGCTCCAGTTTTGTATTACATTGATTTGCAATCGAAATAAACAGCTTTAAGGGTGTGGATTTTCTGGAATAAATGTTTGCGTAAAATGAGTGACCAACGTGAATAAATGTTAATTACAGCTGATGATGCATGGCAGAAAATTCATTTCTGAATAAAAGGCTTCAACATTCAGCTTGCAACGGAAACAAATGTTGGTAAATACAGAACGATAATATTTTCTCAGCAAATATTGGCCCCACCAGTAGTTAAAGACCGCTGGTTTCTGGTAGTTCAATCTGGCTTGGTATCGATCCCAGGCAAACGAGCTGGTTGCATTGTTAGTTTTCGTGGTTGTCTCCGTATGTAACATGAATGCATGTCAATATTTCCCAGAAAGCGCTTCACGAAGGTATCGCTATTCTTGGGCAGATGGTCCTCGTGGCTTTGCCATAGTCATATAACCTAATCAAGCCAGTATCAAAAATGAGTTAGCAGCTACTAATTCACAAGTATCGACTTGATTGTATTTCTGTTTAATAACTAGTGAAACTGTTTGTTTACGAGAAGGAAGAAACCATCTGGATTTAAACTTAACTTCTAGGCCCTTTTTTTCTTTTAAACTTCTCGGTAAGTTTTCGCTCTTAAAAATCTAGTGCTTTATTTTCGTAGCATATGAAGGAAAACGCGAAAATTTCGACAATACCCTATTCTAATTTGGAAAAAGGAAAGTTATGATGTTTCATCCGATAGCAAGGTCATGCACGAATTAAGAGTCAACATACGCTTTTTGCTGATTACTTTTAGTCTATTAAATGTAAATTCCATTAAATAACACCGATGTTTACTAAGCATAAATTATTCTAATGATTTGTTTAAAGAATTAGTTTTAAATAACTTCGATCTTAATTATTAAATGAAACAGTTGTACTAAAACTTTTGGATCTTAACTATTAAATGAAATAGTTTTACTAAAATTTTTGAAATGCGTCTGATTTAATTTCAATGCTATCTCTTCAAATGAGTTTCGCCTTGCTCAAAATGAACCCCTGTGGTTTTCGTGGTCTTAGTTTGACTTGAATATTTGTCGGTTTTCTTTAGAAAACGTTCCTCGAGGGCATTTCGTCTCAGGGAAACTGCCCTCGCATATTTGTCATAATTAACTTTAAACTCTTCCTGTTGTGAAAATTACTTGAGTAACACAACTCAGTCTCGAGAAATGATAGCGAAACGAACTTCAGGTGTATAAGTTTTCTTTATATAATATTAAAACAGTTTGCAACTAAATTGGGCGTTTTTTTCTTTTTAAAATTTATTACTTAAAATGTGCTCGTATTCCCGAAACTTATCATGAAGAAATTCGTTATTCATGAAGCCGTTACGTGATACCGTACTGCCTTTTTATTTTGCGCGTAATGAAAATCTAATGCATTAATAATTCACTACGCACCCTTCCTGGTTCTGATTCATTCTTCTATAAATCTTTACAGATGCTGTACGCACATTTTTTAGACAGTTTTCACTGTTTTTACAGAGATAGTTTATCTAAACATTTTGTGCTTTAAATGTTCCATTTTATAACCCTTAATCTTCAACATCTTTCTACACCATAATAATAATAATAAAGACAATAAAGCTTTTTTTTTTAGTATCGAAAGAGTTATTTGTACTTTTAGGTTTCGCCGGCGCAAATCTCGCCAAGCAGACTTTATTGGCGAAAACATAGTATACACGTAAAATATGTTGACAAATGTTAGTTCTAAGAATTTTTTATTTTGAAGGTATAAACATTTTAATGTCGTTTAAAATTTTGTAAGAAATCCAATAAAGGCAATAAATTTGTAAAAGGACATTAAGAATTTACTATCCTTTCATCGTACAACATCCTGATTCGCCGGTTCATATCACGTGACCACAAGTGATCTCATGTAAACTACGCTACAAAAATCTAATTCTCTCGGTAATTATCTACATTAATTTCAAGTTGAATTTTAATTTGGAATAAAAGTTTAAATGCCAGAATTATTTCAATTCGTACGAATAGCTTACTTAGAAATTTTGTAAAATCGCAGTACTTTACTTCGCTAGTGCATTCTAATTAGAATTGATGAATTTAACTCTTGACTTTGCTTTTTCTATATTTTCGCCATCGGGTGAGTGGTGTGATTGCATCCTAATTGACTTAATTACCGCCCGCGAATGGCCTTATGGCATAAAATTGAAATATCTGGTAAAAATTCTATGTAATTCTATGCCAGTATTGAAAGAAACAATCTGATAAGAAATGGCTGCGACTTGTTTTGAAATTGAGGCGTAAAAGGTTACCAGCGAGGATATTACGTTTGGCATCAGTTGTATCATTACTGGCGACTTTATCGCTTGCGCCGGCAAAACTGAAAAGTACCGAGTTATTTTATCCCATTCCTCTTGAACAGTTTTCCGGAGTACAAGGAGGATTGCAGGTTGGCGCTTGGAAAATTCGCTTTTTAAAGGTCCAAAAGCGCAGACATCCGTGGATCAGGAGATTTAGGAGGAATATGCATGAAGTGTATGGCCTCGACACCCTTTTCTTGTTCTGTTCCATTTTTCTCGGGAAATTAACAGATTTTGACGCTTGGCTGCTTGTTTTGTCTTGATGTAGTTCTACCGATTGATGACTCTTTGGATATACAATATGTTCCTGATAATATGTGGAGTTGACCTTAAGTTTTCTGAAGTTAATTTCCAATTAAATTATTATTTGCCTTTATATCGGGAACCAGCAACAATCATAAATCCCTTTGAAAAACTTGGAAATTCTTTGAACATGTTCTAAGATTTATTTTCTTCTCTTTGATAAGTGAATCTCCTATTATTGCTGTCATTTAAATACATCAGAGATTCACCTATTATGACATTATTTTTCTATTTTTGTTCGAATAATTGTCTCTCAAAGAATTCTGCAGCGCTTTCTGCGATGCATCATGCAGAAAGACTGAATATTACGTTATTCCACCTTTTTAAGATTGAAATCAGAATTAACCACTTTGTTTACAGTCGACACTGAGCATTTTAATGATTATGCAAATGTCCTTTGACTTTGCTAATTTTTATTTTAACATTAAAGTTCTTACCTTTGCAACATTCGAAACATTCCCTTTTTTCCTTGCATATGTATTTTGAAAAGTTTTTCTCCTTAAAACCAAAATTTGATGTCTTTTTCCTTTCTTATTGACTGACAATATCTATAGTTGCTTTAGATACAGGAAAATCATGGCTTTCACAAAATTTTTTAATAACTAGATACGAATAATTTTCTTCGGAAAGAGCGCAAACATAGCCTTCCGGCCGTTTCTTCTTTAAAAGCGTCATTTTACATAAAAATAAAACTTTTAAGCAGCAGATAATTTATATTTCAAAAAATATAATTGCAGTAAATGAAACTTTTTACAAGCAGACTATCTTTAATAGCATACCCTTAGCAGAGAAATCGTTCTACTCCTCAATAAATAAAACATATCTACGGATATTTAATATCACCACTAATTTTTCTTTCTTACAGGAGATAGGTGTTGCAAATGTTCACTTCTTTACTGTGTAATAAAATTTTACGGCAGCTTAATTACAAAATAAGGAAAAATTGTCTTGCCTCGCAAACAAGTGCCTACATGAATTGCGCATTTGAAAAGGGGTTTGGTTTATTTGATTACGCCAAAACATCTGTGGACTGTCTGCCTTAAGAGGAGGGATGCCTACGTGGGGGGGGGGCTTCCTAAGGGAAAGTGGTTCTTATTTGCGTTGCACATAGAGAACGAAACCAAACATGCGGGAAACCTATTCCTCTGCATTCGAATCCAAACAAACTACCAGTAACCCAAACAAACTACCACCAGAGACCGAGCAATAAAGTACCAAACTTTAGTGCTCGGTCTCTGCTGAGCCTGAGGAGAGAGAGAAATCGAAATACTTAACAGTGCTGAAGGGCTCGATCGCTGTCACAATAAAGGTGATGATCCTGGAACACGGACAGCCTTTTTCACAACCTAATTAGCATATTTGTAAAACAATATGCCTTATTACTTGGTTTTTTCGACTTGAGCAGTAAAGTGGCCAAGGGGCTAATGCGCATACCATTAGTAAGTCGTTCTAATTTCCCGGCAGCTGATAGAGGTTGTATCGGGATTCTTGCTAGTTTTCTCATACATATTACTGCAAGACATTACTCTAGAAAAGCAGATACGTAACTAGAACTTCTGGACTTTTATGGGCAAAATCTGCCCCCCCCTCTCTCTCGATTAACAGTGATTCAGGGTAAAAAGCAGAAAACATAAGTCCAGAAGCCACCTTTTTGAATGACTTAGCTCGGCTGTATTAAATATTAAGCAACATTAGTTCTTGTTTAGGGAATTATAGCGGAAGGAACGTAAAATAATTTATTTTGTGAATCGGCCTCTGTGGTTTTAGATCGGCAAATTTTAAGTAATAGAATGCGAGGCATTCGTCCAGCCTTTTGCTAAGGGCATTAGATGGTCTTAAACCGGCTGTGCTTGATGGAGTCATTTGCTTGAGATCTTTCTTTCGCCAGTGTTCAGAGATTTTGGAGAGGGAGAAGGTAATATGATTTCAAAGAACCCTTTATTTGAAACATATATATGATTACGGAAGCAAAAAAACCGCATCCCTTTTTATTTTCTCTTTGATTTAAAATTTAAATATAAATCCTGTTCAGCGGGACGTCAGTGCCCGTCTCCCACGACTGAGAGCGATTACGTGATGGTATACATTGCATACCTCATCCCATAAAAATGTTCCCACTTTTAAAGCAAATGGGTATTAAGTGTTTTGCAGTAATCCAATAATCCAGCTTCATTTCTGCACAGAAAAATAAAAGCTTTACTTTTCAGGCAACAGGAGGGCGCGACGATTCCCGTGGTATAAATGTCATTTTAAAAAATGGCACAGCTGTACCAAATAGAATATTCGTAGGTGGAATCTCTGGAAATGTAAGTATTCACTTTCCTTGTAATTTCTATTTATGATTTTTTTCGTATATGAAATGAAAATGAAGGCCCTAATCAGATGCAAAATACCCGGAATAAATATAGTGATGAACTAAAGGTATTTGCGTATTATCGCAACCACCTTGGTAGAAGTCGCAAAATTATGTGAATTTAGACATTGCGATATTTTTAGCCTTAAATTGAATTTTAAAATATTCGCTTGTCGAATTTGTCACAATTGGAAGAGACTGAGATAAAACTTCTGCAAGTATAGTATTTTGCCGCAAAACCGCTAAAGGGATTGAGGAGAATGTGTTTAATAGCCTGTTAGCAATGGCGGATTTGTGCTATTGTCTGAAATTTTTTAAGTGAAACATATTGCTTTTTATAGGGGAAGAGAAGAGTAAAAAATTACAAAACGATTTCGGGAGAAGTGTTTTATTTATTTTTGTAATACATAATTCTTATTTAATAATCAAAATTTCTTCTTGTGTTAACATGTGCCGACTAATGATTAAGAGATAGGAAATTCTCTTAGTCGCGAAAATCAGCAATTTGCACCCGATGGTTAACTTTTAACTCTTCATCTGTGCAAATCGGTAAACTGCGCCAAGGTGGTGGCGTTAATACGCAAGTACCTTAAATAACTATTTGATCGATACGACGTTGACTGTTTCAATGGGGAATTTATATTCCTATTTGCACAACTGTCATACTTGATTTAGTCTCGTTTTTATTGTGGTTTTAAAAGGCCTTGAAAAGTTGAATATTAATCTATTAAAACACGTTTAAAACTTCACACCGAAAAGTTGTGCATCATATCTTCTGTTATATAATAAATGACTGTAAAGAGGGCCGTAAGCTCAGAAATGAAACATATATATGATATGACTAATGGCTTTGTGGCAAAAATATGATTTCTTGCAACTAAATTTTTACATTACAGAAAAATTTTATCATTTCCACCGATAACCCGCTGAATGCAAACTTCCCTATGATGCTGCCTATAGTGTTTTTGTGTTAGCAGTTACATGCATGTGCTACGTCTAGTAATCGAACTGTGTTGTCACCACGATCTAATTACTTTTCATTTTATTCCTTTCAATACAATACGTACTTCAACGCTAATTTTCGTTTAGGATTTTAATGAATAATTTTCACTGTAACAGTAATTGTGTCTGACAAGTAAACTGTTTCAATATCATATTCTTTAGACACAGAACCGACTCGGTGACCTGCTTCATTTATTTTACAATATTGAAATCGAAATATTGAAAATTGAGGTAAGTGAAAGCATTCAACTAATAATTTGAATATTTAGGTATACAATAAATAAAACGTAACAGCATTTACTCGTACTGAAATTCAAAATTCTGTTGAAGGCAATTTCCAGTTATGTAATTTCGTTCAAGTTTATATTTATTTAAAAAATGGCCGATTCAGGTTCATGTAAAATGACAAAAACAAAACAAAAAAAAAAAAAAGCACAAGTTTTCTTGTAAAAATATGCGCAAATTGTGAATTCGCAGGATAAAGGTTTTTCCTTTCAATTGCAAACCATTGTAATGATATTACAAAGTTAAGAATTCGTTTCTGTATATTTAAAATCGGGAAACTAAGCAGGAAACTTCATCACAACAAAATTTTCCATAAACATATTTGCACTGCTATTGGCATTAAAATACTATAACACTCTAATGACGGGGCACGTCAGTTGGAGTTTTTATGTAAACGGGCACATTTATCGAGTAGAAAAGGGTTAGTGCATTAAATTTCGGAATCCTACGTGATTTAAATTAGGAATATGAGCATTTTCTGCAAGCAAAAGTATACTTTCCTATCATTTTCATTATTTCTCATAAATCGCAGTTGGCCTTTCTGGTAGTTAACGTTACGTTGTATTCAAGGCGTTAGTTGGCGTGACCCTAGTTAGGATCAATCTTACCTGTAATATGAACCTCCCTTTTAACTCCTTAACATTATCTTTCAAAACTTCAAACTTGGTTTGGAATGAACTTAGTCGATGTATTGGTGCACAAAATGTAAATTTTTGAAAGAATATTTAAATATTTAATTTTAAAGCCTTTCTTGTATGCGTTCTTGGGGGCTAAGCAAAATCAAATGCTAAATATTAACTTATGCACTCGTGTAAAAAAGAGAAAATGATGGAAAAAAAATTATTGGAACACAAAATATTTCTTAAAACTAAAACACAAACTCTAATGTGTTGGATGTCCTTTCCTTTTTGATTTCCCTGAGTTTTCTAGGAATGAAGTTTATAAAATTTTGACAGGGATTTGCTTTTTTCCCATTCTGTGGTTTAAATTTTCTTGCACATGATCTGTTTATAATTACTAGAAGACCAGTTTGAATGGATCCGAAACATAATAAATGGCATTATTAATCAGAAAAATAGTATGTCCATTTTTTGGCAGCCTTTAAAAGTGTATTTTAAAACGTTAAAATGCATAATTTATTTTGGCATCAGTAAAATGTAGATTTCTAATGCCACAAACACTCGTACAGCTCTAGACCATCTAGCTATTTCAACCATGTTTTATTGATGGAGTGAGATTGGACTTTTGCGATATCATTTGCTTTCCCTCAATCCCCAAAATACTGAATTTACATTCTTCCTACAAATCTAAACCAGTTCCGAACATCCAATCTAAACTAATTGCAACATTTTAATAGTGCATGGCTAACTTCGATCGCACCATTCTACGCACTTTCCTGAAAAATTATTTTTCGTCTGACTAGTTGGCCATGAAAGTTATTCTTAAAATATTCATAACAATTTCTGCAGTAGTGAACCCTCTAAATATTCGTTGGGTTCTTAGTCAATTTCAATGCACTGATTTTAGGATTAGCAAGAATATTTCTAACGATCCACTTTTCTTAGCTTTCAGTGAAATGCACTGGACGCCTTGTTCGTGGCTTTAAAATTGTTTCATGTATTTCAAAATCATGAAAAATTTGCTTACGTTCAGTAGCTCACTTGTTTTTCTTAGGTTTTTCTATGACTGCAGCGAAAAATGTAAGTTTTCTTTTCATGTTAAAAGATATCCGTTTTCTTCATGCATGTTTGTAAAGTGAATCCTAAACTTTCATTTATATTTTCCAGATTTAAGATTTATCCAGGCGCTTTACATAAAAAGACTGACAGAATTAGCTCTTATACTTGTTACCTCAATGCTCCTCTACTTTATCTCCCTGTTTATTCCTATTTAAAGACAAAATGCTTAAAATATCTCACTACTGTTACCTAATTTGATTTATCATACATTTAGTATTGTAATTAGACACAAAATAATTAAAAGGATATTTAGTTTTGGAATAATGGCTGAATTTTTACCACAGAATGTCTGAATATTTCCTGTGTCCCAGTAAGTTTTTGAATTATTATAACCCAAAGTACTGCTAGCAAGTTCGACGTTGTCTAATTAACACTCGGATGAGCAGTAATTGATGCACCACCAATAGGTTTTTCTGTGGAGATCTGCTCAAAACAATTGGTTATCACTTCTTCATATGTAGCAAGATTAACAAATATGAAAATAGTGTGATTAATTACGATTGTGATTACTATAACTTGCTTTAAAAGGAATTCTAGATGAACTTAAAGTTAGATATTTAACCTTTCAAAATGTTAGTGTTATATCTAAAAATCATTTTGCCTTATAATTTCAAAGATATAAATGGTAAGTAATGCATCTACGAAACCTTGAACTTTTCAAAACGGATATACTACGAAATTCTACGCTTTCCTGAATAACTTTGCTTAAATTCTGACGTTTTGATTCTTTTTCGAAGGCGTTATTAAAGCGACTGACTAATGTCCCTTAAAATTTACTCATTTGGAAAGAGGCTAATTAAATTGTTCTGTAAACTTATTGAAACGAAGTTGACATGTGTTCTTTTCAGACTAACGAAGATGATCTCAAGAACCTATTTTCCAAGTTTGGTAACGTTAAGGCAACAAAAGTAATTATCGATAAAGCTGGAATATCTAAAGGGTAATGTATTCAAATTTTCAGACTTTTCTGTATGCTATTGTCATTAGTTACTAACCGCGAATGCAGCCAAGAAAAACTTACGAGGGAAGAATTGCCTATTTTTTAGATTACTTCATATAGCCAGTAAGCGATAAACTTTTATTTATGCCAGTTATTACACTCAACTTTTTCCCATTAAACTGCATTCCAGCGCTTAACGAGTTTTTAAGAATGAGCTAGACCAGGGTTTCTTACTTTTTCAGTCGCGACCCCTTTTTATCAGATATTTTCACGAACCCGGGACCCCGTAAAATTTACAAAAATTTGTTGGGACCCTATAAGTATTGAGCAATTCCGACACACGTGCGAGTGAAACTGTCAATTTTCTCACTTGTACTGTAATATACTATTGGAGTTTTAGGTCATTAATTTTAAGACGTAGAACAATGTGAAAATGTTAAATAAGACCAAATGACTGCACCACGTGCAAAGCAAGGAAAATGAACGTTTATATTATAAAAATGCGTCGCAACGTCTTGTCTTTATCTATTTTCAGATACATTGTATAAAAATATTGCGATTGTAAAATTATTATAAAAAGTTAGATATTAAAACTAAAATTTTTGCGACCCACAGTTTATGAAACCCTGGGCTAGACCAAAATTCCGTTAGAAAATAATCAAATTGAATTTTATGCTGATATTGATACGAAAAATACCTCAGTAAAGTAGACAATAGATATAACTACGTCATTTAAGTGAATAAAAATGGGGCTCTTGGTTATTAGCTGGAAAATAGCCGATAAGCTGCGAACCGCCTTGCAGCGCAATGAAATAAATTTTCGGCGTCAGCAGATTATGGAAATGCGCATTTTCGGCAGTCAGTGTCTCATTCAAAACTTCATAGGGTCGTTATTTTCTGCATCTGGTTCTGCTTTTACGTACATAAAAAAAGCGAATGACTTTCCTCGAACCATTTACCAGTTCTTATTCCAACACTGACATTTTCGTTGTATCTTTCGTCACATACAATTTTAGATCTGGAACATTTACGATTTCCTGGCTGACACCACACGCTTACATATAATAGATTGCTTCATTTTGTTGGCAAATGTTGCACATGCATACATAAGAAATGCAGTAAAACGCGATTAAAATTTACTAGATATTGATAAAAATTGTCTCTAGAATTTCTGAGGGAAACGTATAGGTAAAAAATCAAGTATGCGCTTGCTCTGATTGATCTGAAATTGATATTGAAATTAAAAGAAGCAATCTTTATTCTCCCTCTGCTTCTCTTCAAATAAAGTGGGAAGTCTCATCTTTCCAAAAAATTTCGGAAGGGTTTCTGGAGCTCGTGGCGAAAGTGAGGTCATAATGTGATATTACTGGCATCGTATCAGCGAGTTCCAGCTAATATCGAAGTGGAGAATATTCAAATATTTGTGATAGTGTTATTGTTGCAATTATAATTCCTTTTATGCAGCTACATTTTTCAGTGGAAAGTTAAATTTGAAACTTCGCGATATTTTTAATATAAAAATGCTCACTACAGCCAGCTTCCGATGTACCGGGGCTCATGGCCCCGGTTGACTCAGAATCCCAGTTAATTTGAGGGTAGCTAAAATCGCAGGAAAGAGGAAAAAATATTAACAACAAGAAAATGCTATTAACCTGCATTTTCAAGAGGTTTAATCTCGAGATGAAGTATATTTGATTACGCAAACTAAATCAGTATTAAAAGAATGACTTCGTAACTAGCGAAAAATGCCAAAAGAAATGGAGAAGCTAAATCATAAACGGCACTAAAGAAGAATAATTACCCAGTCGATTAGTTATTTTTCGTTGATCCGCATTCAAACTTCATAGACATGTTCCAGTTAATCCGCAACTTAATCTACCCCCACTTAATTGGGGGTTGAGAGTACATTCGAACTTGATTTCTATCAATAAAATATTTAAAATGCAACACTATTACCCCATGCATATTAAAGTTTTAAGAGCAATTAGTTAAACGATTAAATAAAGCTTTGGGTGAAATCATTAAGCCTCGTTGTCAGCTTTCATTTTTCTGCACTTAGTTGGAATCGCTATAATTTTTTTATCAGCAATATGTTTTATCAGCAAAGCGCTCCAAGCACTGTTTAATAGACTCTTTTATAATGAATTTTTGAAAAAAATATTTTTATTTTGAAGGAAAAATTGTAAAATTTTTATTCACTTCTTATTGGTTTTATGGTAGAAGATGCGCATATCGATGACGCTGTTGAAGCTGTTACTAATACTATTATTCAGGCAGCTATGCTCTCCATTCCTAGAACATCAGGAAAACTACTAAAATATTCAAAACCATGGTGGAATCGCGACTGTCATGAAGCACTGAAAAAACAGAAAAAAGCATGGGGTATTTTTCGTAGATATCCTACTCTGCGAAACCTCATAGCCTTTAAAAGAGCCAAAGCAAATGCACGAAAAGTAAGAAGGCAGAGCCAGAGGGATTCCTGGATTTCATATGTGTCGTCAATAACATCCTCCACGCCTAGCAAGCGGGTTTGGGAAAGAGTTCGAAAAGCATGCGGCATATATAAAGACCACTCACTTTCCTTTTTGGAAAAAGATGGCCGAGTGATTAGCTCCATAGAAGAAATTGCGAATACTATTGGTGAGACATTTGCTTCCGTTTCTTCCAGCAGAAACTATACACCTGCATTTCTTTCTATGAAGCAGCACTCTGAAATAAATCCCATCGCATTCAACTCTTCCAAATCTGAGCCTTACAATAGAGACTTTACTATGCTTGAATTAAGGAGTGCTTTATTGCAGACACATAGGTCTTCTCCGGGTCTTGATGGAGTGAATTATGAAATGCTAAAGCATCTGTCCTGTAAGTCACTGAATGCCCTTCTCACTCTTTACAATAGGGTGTGGAAGGAGCATGCCTTTCCCAGTGCATGGAGGAGAGCTATTGTCATTCCTATTCCTAAGCCAGGGAAAGATCCAAGGAATCCCTCCAACTATCGGCCAATTGCCCTTACGAGTTGCCTCTGCAAACTGTTTGAAAAGATGGTAAACAGCCGCCTAGTCTACTTCTTGGAAAAGAATATTATATCGCCTTATCAGAGTGGTTTTCGAAAGGGAAGAACAACTGTAGATAACATGCTCCTCTTAGAGACATCTATTCGAAAAGCATTTGTAAGAAGCCACCTTGTCTCGATATTCTTCGACATTGAAAAAGCTTATGATAAGGCATGGAGATACGGTATACTCCGGGATCTTCACGAGAGTGGCTTGCGCGGCAACCTACCAATTTTCATTCAAAATTTCTTGAACACTAGAACTTTTCAAGTAAGAATTGGCTCTGTTTTTTCGGATTTTTTTTAACAGGAAGAGGGTGTGCCTCAAGGCTGTGTGCTCAGTGTAACCCTGTTTAGTTTAAAAATAAATTCTGTACTAAAAGAACTTCATCCCATCATCTTGGGATCTCTATATGTTGATGATCTGCAGATTAGCTGTCGAGGAGCAGACATGAGATATGTAGAGAGGCAACTGCAGATGGCTCTGAATAAGATCCAAGAATGGTCAGACAAACAGGGATTTACATTTTCGAAACAGAAAACTGTGTGCGTGCACTTTTGTAGGAAGCGAGGTCTCCATCCTGAACCTGAGTTATATTTGAATGGTACAATTATTCCAGTTGCGCCTGAAGTAAAATTTTTAGGAGTGACGTTCGACCGAAAATTGACTTTCCTTTCTCATGTTTTAAACCTGAGAAAGAAGTGTCTAAAAACACTAAATATTTTAAAAGTGTTGGCGAACACCTCCTGGGGTGCAGAGCGTTGCTCCATGCTTCGCATTTACAGAGCGCTCGTCCGCTCTAAACTGGACTATGGCTCAGTTGTGTATGGATCCGCTCGGTCATCTGTTTTGTTAAAACTGGATCCTGTTCACCATCAAGGTCTGCGGATTTGTTCAGGAGCATTCAGGACTTCTCCTGTGCAGAGCCTATATGTTGACTGTAACGAACCATCACTTTATCTGAGGCGTGAGCAATTGTCCCTTTTACAATATTTTAATATCTTATCCCAACCTGAACATCCCAATAAGCTGTGCTTACTTGATAATGAGTGTAACACTTTATTTGAAACACGTCCATCCTGCGTTCCTACCTTTCCTTTAAGACTTCGCCCTATCATTGAGGAACTTTCCCTCTCTGATATGCGCCCCCAAGCAGTACAGAACTTTGAAATCCCACCTTGGGAAAATTCACGGATTCAGCTTCTTGATGTTTTCAAACATCACGTGAAGGCAAGCACTAACGAGATCGTTTATAGACAACTCTTTTGCTGAGCACAGGCACAAATATAGCAGTTATTATCCGATATACACAGATGGATCAAAGACAAATGATCATGTTGGGATGGCTTTTGTATTTGAAAATTACATAGAGGGCAGATGCCTGCACCATGCTTTCTCAGTCCTAACATCTGAACTGACTGCTATATATTATGGTCTTTTGTACATCTCAAAGCTCTGCCACAAAAAGTTCATAGTTTACACAGACTCGTATAGTGCTCTTAAATCCTTGGAAGCTTTTCCCAACACGCAGAATCCTGTGGTAGTGGATGTTCTCAAAATTCATATAAATTTAACGATTCGAGGTTATGAAGTCCTGTACTGCTGGGTTCCTGGACATGTTGGAATAAAAGGAAATGAGCTTGCAGATATCGCAGCCAAATCTGCTGTTGAACTGTCCAGTCGCCTTATCCCTTTTAGAGATATCTGCAATGTCATCAAGGGAAAGGTCCGAAAAAAAATGGCAGCAATTTTGGGATGTTTCAGCATCACAACAAGTTGAGAAACGTCAAAGCCTAGAATTGAGCATTGGGATATTGTTGGAAATCGTAAGGAGGAACGTTCTTTTGACTCGCCTCAGGAATTGGTCACACTCGAGTCACACATAACTATCTTCTCAAAGCTGAAAATGAGCCTGTTTGTTTTAATTGTAATGTTTGTTTATCTGTT